AAAGTTTATTTGTTCAGTTTGAGAGAGAGAGAGAGATAAAGAGAGAGAGAGAGAGAGACCGACCAGAGGAGGGGGAGAGAGAGAATCCCAAGTAGGCTCTGGGCTGTCAGTGTAGAGCCTGGTGTAAGACTTGATCTCATGACCATGAGACATGACCTGAGCTGAAACCAAAAGTCAGACGCTTAACCAACTCTGCCACCCAGGTGCCCACCAAGACACTTTTAAGTTAGAAAAAGAGGTATTCTCTAAAAGTAAAAAGTAATCTTTTGCAAATACAGTGCAGAAGAAAATAGCACCATCAACATTTCAGATGTGGTCCCACATCTGTAAATAGGCAGATTGATAAGGTCTGAGGGGCTTTCAGTTTTCAAATGACATGCCATACGTTAAAAAGTCTTCTACATGGTCATTTAAGCAGCTTCCCCTGAAATCTGTGCCTGTGGCTGGTACATTGCCCTGTTCCTTCATTGGTTCATCTCTTCACAGGCTAACATTTACTGTCTTCATCACAGAAGACAGAAGGATGAGACTGGGGCTCTGCCTGGAGTCTGCCTCCAGTTAGGCAGCTGAATTGGGGCAACAATGGGCTGCCTTCAACACAAGTGCTTTCTCAGAAGTTTGGGGAGAGGGAGGTGACAGTCCAGAGTGGAGGTGTGCCTGAGTCCCCCTGGGACCAGGGAGAAAAGCGACATGGGAACATCGAGTATTGGTTGGCCAAGTACAGAGAAGGGGCATAGGGGCAGGGGATGAGGACAGCAGAGGACTCTGGTTATAAGGAAAGGTTGTGTCAAAATACTTTCAGTTCTCCAAATTCTCATGCTGCTCGTGCCTCCATGCCTTCTCACAGTGGCTTCCTCTTCTGGAATGCCCTGCCGACCACTGGCCAGGTTAACTCCTACTTCTTTTTCTAGCTTCAGCTCATGGGCTCATGAAAGAGTTTCTGGCATTTTTGGTCCACGTTGCATGCTGTGATCCTTGTGATCTCTGAGGGTTTTGTTCAGTCTCCTTATATGGCCTACTCGCGGCCTTACAATTGTTAGATTACTGGTCTATCTCCGCACCGCACAGTAGACATCAGAGTGGAGAGAGCAGTATTCATCTTTAGATCCCTAGTGTCTACTATGTGCCTGGCACCAAATATGCACTCAGTAAATGCTGACCGAATGAGTGAATGGCGTGTCTGGGCTACAGAGTGAAGTCTGGTGTCACTGGACTGTTGGCTGGGTTATGGAATGGGAGGCTAGGGCCAGATACCGAATAAATGGGGCCTGCATTTTATCTCAGTCTCAGGTTTTTTCAGACTGCAGGTCACATGACCCCTGGCAGGGGCGGGGGAGGGGGGGGCTGTAAATTTCATGCAGTGTTGACATCAGCATTTTTATAAAGATGAAAACAACAGATAATATCAGAAGGTAACAACGTACATGTTAAAGATGCATGTTGTTTTACGAAACTTATTCATGTTATATCTGTGCACGTATATGTATATGTGTGTGTTGTGAGTCATGATGTAAAATGTACTTGTTACCACTTAAGAGCCATTTTATAGGGAATAAGAAGCTATTACTTAAAAATCAAGAATGTAGGTGATAAAGCAGGTTTGGGGGTGAGGGAAATGAGTTTAATTCTGACCTTATTAAATGGTAGAAAGGTCTGCAGATCAAGATAGGGGATGTGTAAAGAGTTGCTGGAAATACAGATACAGATCTCAGGAGAGGGATTAAAATCGAGAAAAACATGTGGAACTCTTTAGCATATTTATGGTAATAGAAAGTAAATGCCAAAGCATAAGCTACAAAATGGTTTTACTTCCCTATATTCATGCATACACAGTTTCCAGAAGGGTGTCTCTGTGATTTCCTGGACTTTTAACATCTGTTAAGAAAAACAAGGGACAATCTCACCTTCTCAGTAGAGGTTTATACTGTCTGACCCTGATGAACTATGATTTAATGACCCCAAACTTAACTCTTCTGGGCTTACTTATACACTGACGGGTCCGGCATAGATCCCACCCATCACGTCGGCCTCTATGATGAGCAGAGGAAGATGCTGAGAAAACAGAGGGTCTCTCTGCTGAAATACCTACTTTATAAGTAACAGAAGAAAAGCAGATTCTAAAGTTCAAAAGCTAAGAGCTCAAGAACTAGTGCTTGTCAGAGATACTTACTTACTCTTCCAAATTTTTAACAGTTCCACGAATTCCCACATTTCCCAGTTTCTGCTTTTGTATAGGTCCCAGGGCTGCTAAAAATGGGTCCATAGGTTTTTCCTGAAGAACACCCATGGTTTATGCAGAACAAGGACTGCTAATAATTTTCCTGGGCCAAGGGGTCAGAGGAGTCTCTCACAGAGACTCTGGCACAGAGAAACTCTGGCCAATCAGGATAAATCTGGCCAACCAACTCTGGCCAATCAGGATAAATCTGGCTCACACAAGTATGTGCTAATGCGGCAATGTGGAACGTGCTGGACTCCCACTTTTGGGTTTGCACTTGTGTGAGCTGGGCATTCTGTGGCAGTGCTGGCGACTTCAAGTTGACTTAGCAATGAATCTAAGGCAATGGAGAACAACCAAATGGCTTTGGTTTGGCTTTTAAACCTCAACTCTGAAAGTCCATACATACAACATCTCTAAAATAACAAGTGCTTCACAGCTGTACTACTTTAGGTTCTGGAAGATTTTTTTCCTAATGTTTATTTATTTGAGAGAGAGAGAGAGAGAGAGAGAGAGAGAGAGAGAGAGAGAGATGGAACACAAGTGTGGGAGGGGCAGAGAGAGAGGGAAACAGAATCAGAAGTAGGTTCCAGGCTCTGAGCTGTCAACACAGAGCCCAACTTGGGGCTCGAGCCCATGAACCATGAGGTCATAACCTGAGCCTAAGTCAGATGCTTAAGTGACTGAGCTACCCAGGCGCCCCAAGTTCTGGAAGATTTTTTATGGTCCCTCAGTGAGAAGTCCGAAATGAAGCTTGTGAAGAAACTCAGCAGAACTGAGCTTGGCTATTACACACTGCACTCTGGAACAGATGGCATAAAGTTCAAAGATGACCCACAGAAAAAAAGAACTTCCCAACTTTCCTCCTTCCTGTGTGCGCTCTATCAGGAAAAATAGTTATCAAGTGGGTGGAGCTGGGATTCAAAATCAGATTAGTTTGACTACGCTCTTCAGAGCTGTACTATCTCACTCCCAGGAGGATCTGAAAGAGCAACGTGGCTCAGATGGTGTTAAATGATAACATGGCCCAGACTCCAGAGGTTATGGGTATGAGGAACAAGGACTTCTTCATTCTCCTCTCTCTTCAAGTCCAACACACACATACACTCACACACATAGACATACATGCACACGCACTTGCACACACGCACACGGGACCAGGTACCAACTTCTTCACCATTTTCATCAGTGACTTAAAGAACATCATAGAAAAATGTATTAGATTCTCACATGACACAATAGGAAAGATATGAAATATTCTGGGGCGCCTGGGTGGCTTGGTCGGTTAAGCGTCCGACTTCGGCTCAGGTCATGATCTCACGGTCCGTGAGTTCGAGCCCCGCGTTGGTCTCTGTGCTGACAGCTCGGAGCCTGGAGCCTGTTTCAGATTCTGTGTCTCCCTCTCTCTCTGCTCCTCCCCTGTTCATGCTCTGTCTCTCTCTGTCTCAAAAATAAATAAACGTTAAAAAAAATTTAAAAAAAGATATGAAATATTCTCAAGGCTGAGCCAGGATTAAAAAATATTTAATCAGGTAGGAACAACTGGACAAACCCAACACAGGAACACCTAATAGCAATAAACATGAAGTCTGGGACCTAGGTTCTATTACTTGTTTGAGATGGAAAGACTTAGCAGGCAACAATTTGTATAACCAAGGACTCATGGTTTTTAGCTGAGTACAAATTCTATGAGACCACTCGGTGGAAATGAAAGGAGATTGGAGTATTCTGACTTTAAGATAGCCCCCAAATCCCTGCCTGCTGATGTTTACACTCCTCCCCTGGACTGTGGACGGAACCAGTGACTTGTTTTTAACCAACAGAATATGGCAAAAGTGAGAAGATGTCACTTCTGTGATTACAACGTGTAGGATGCCAGCCCTCATCTTGCTGGGAGACTCTCTCCCTTGTTGGCTTTGAGGGAGCAAGCAGTCGTGCTGGGAAAGCTGTAAGACAAAGACCTGGAGGTAGCTTCAGACAATAGCCAACAAAACTCAAGGCCCCCAGTCTAATAGCTCGCAAGAAACTGAATGCTGTCAACAACCACGTGATCTTAGCAGTGAATCCTTCCCTAGTCCCAGTGAATCCAATCCATAAGATTGCAGGCCCAGGTGACATTGTGATTGGCAACCCTGTAAGCACCTGGAGCAGAGCACCAGCTAAGCCACGCCTGGATACCTGACCAACCAGAACTGAGATGACAAATGTGTGTTAAGTGGCTAAGTTTCTGGTAATATTGTTCTATAGCGATAAACCACTAGTACAGATTAAATCACTGAATCATACTAGTCAGCACATCTGGATTGCTGTGCCAATGCCAGGTGCTGCCTGGGAAGAGGGACAAAGATAAATAACTGTCTTCTACAGGATGTACCCAGAAAGGTCAAGGGGTGGTGGACATATGTCCCATAGGTGGCTTGGAAATGTTTACCCTTGATGACAAAGAAATGGTTTGGAACATCACCTCCAACAGATCAAGTACTGCAATGTCAATCGGGGACTGATCTATGCGGTACTGAGTCAGCTGGAAAACAACGGCCAGTGGGTTAAGATATTAATATACAACAAAGAAGGGCATGCTAATGATAAGAACTGTACAAATTGTAATGGCAGCCTTATGAGGTTTAATTAGAGCTGAGCGTTGGACTGCACTATATTCTGCATTCAGATATAATAAGGATCGAATTCTGCCTCCACTGACACAAGGATTATCTGTGGTAAAATTGTGATACAATATTACAACAAATAGCTTACAAGATTAGATTATGAATTTACATCTACCTTTGTTTTTATGTGGCCATAATGATAACTTGCAGGATAGATAAGGAGAAGCAAGTTGATTAGGAAAAGGGTGTGAGTAGATGAAGGAGGGTAGAAAAAATATGGATGAAAGCTTTCCTTCCCTATTTTCTATCCAAAGTAAGTATCAATATTAATTATTTTGCAGGGAACCAGAAAAAATCAATGGCTGATATCAGAATCTTTTCTGGCAGCATGATAAGCAGATACATGCATGTATGTAGTGTGTGTATACACGTATATGATATGTGTATGTGTGTGGATATGCACACACACAGAGATTGAGCCTCTCTTCCCTCATTCCCCAGGCTTTATATACAGTGCCACTAGGCAAGGGGTTAGGGATTTACACTGTTCATTTTTGGCAATGGACAATGGCATACAGGTTGTATGTGGGACTAGAAAAGCTGCCTTAAGATGCTGTGATTCTGGGCTGTGTTTCAGAGGTCAGAACCACTAGTAAGATTCTGCAGAGCAGCAACCTTTACTGAGAAGGGCCAGCAGGGGGAGCCACTAAACTGAGAAAATGAAAAGCTGCCTGGAGCTTCAGAAAGCTGCTTGAGTATTTAATCAGTGGCTCTGCTGAATTAAAAGAGATGGTGTTTCCAAAATATTGTGCAGAGTTTTCAACATGGCAAGGGTTCAGATGGGAAGGAACCGAAATAAATAAAGGACAGCTCTTTGATTTCTACTTAAAGTGAATTCAATTCATCTGCTAGAAGGTAAAGGTCTGGCTTGGGGCGCTTAGCTGCCCATGGAATCATCTGGGAGGCATAAAAACAAACAAACAAACAAAAAACACGTTAAAAAACACAGTAAGGACTGGGACCCACCCCAATGATTCTGATTTAACTGGCTGGCACTGTAGCCTAGGTATGAGGAATTTTCTAAAGCTCCCTGGTGATTCTAATGTCAGCAAGGGTTGGAACTGACTGGTCCAATCTAACCAGGCCATCTCTCACAGGCCCTCGGTTGTTAGATGGTTTACAGATTTTTTTTTTTTTTTAAGTCTTCTGCCTGGATCCAAAGGGCCACACAAGATTTTCAGCAGATAAATGAACAGAATAAGCAGCTGGTTGTCAGACAAATTAGAGGAGAACTAAAAAAATAAATTTGACACTATTCCAGAAAACGCTCTTCACTGGAGCATTCTGCATGGAGAGCAGCTCATTTAAAATATATTTTCCTCTAACTAAATTTTCATTCTTCCCCCTCCTCCTTCTCTCCTACTGTTTCTATTCCCTGTCTCCCTAAACCCTGACTCCCTCATGGATTTCACTCTCATCTCAACTGCTTTTCCCTTCTTTTCACTGAGTGATGTTACCGTTGACAAGGCTTCAGCCTGTCAGTCCCCAGCTGTGCACTGTGGGAGCCCCAGTGAAGGAAGTATACGTGCACGCCGGTCAGGACCCCGCGGGTGGAGGCTGCAGAGGCTGGAGGAGGGCAATATTGCCAAGCAGATGCAACGCAGTGAGGCTGACTGAAGAAGCAGTGGCATGAAATGTGGAAAAATGAACCCAGGGAGAGGGACCCGGAGGCAGGAGCCCAGATGCTGGAGCCTTGCTACTCAAAACATGGTCCATGAACGAGCAGCATCAGCACCTGCAGAAAGCAGCTCAGGCTCCACTCGCGACCTGACGAATCAGAATCGGTAACTCAACAAGAACCATGGGTGAAATGTGAGAAACGCTGCTTTAAAGAGTACGTTCTACCTGGATTTTTCAACCTAAAAGGCACAAGCAGTAGAGAGGAAATTCTGGTCACAGGTACACCTTCATCCAGAGCACCTAGGTAAGATTATCTGTTCAGGTAGGCTTTGGAAAGGGGGGTGGGTCGTGGGCAACTTCCAGTTCAGTGGTGCTGGCACCTCATCAGGAATTACTGCAGATGACGGTGATTTCATGACTGGCTCGGCATTCTGTGCCTTGGAGCTCATCCCCCACACCTGCTCTCCTGTCCTCACTTTAACAGTCTCCTAGCCTAGGTGTTTCTTATGGCAAGAGGATTAGAATAATTTCTGGAAACAGGCTTAACACAACAATCCACTGATGCTCTTAACTTCAGCTGTAAACTTGAGGCCAGTTAAAATTCTACGATACGCACACGTGTCATATATGACACATACCGCAGGCCCAAATTGATCACCTTTTTCTTTTTCTCGAATGAAAGTAGTTTTCCTATTTTCTGAGCATTAACTGTGCACAAAGCAATGTGCTGACTACAGGGAGACACAAAGGTGCAAAACTGTAGCTTTTGTCTTCAAAAATGGAGTATTTGGGGGGCACCTGGGTGGCTCAGTCATTTGTGTCCGACTTTGGCTCAGGTCATGATTTCATGGTTCATGAGTTTAAGCCCCTGTGCTGACAACTCAGAGCCTGGAGCCTGCTTTGGATTCTGTGTCTCTCTCACTCTCTGCTCCTTCCCCGCTCATGCTCTTTCAAAAATAAATAAACGTTAAGAAATTTTTAAAAATGTAGTATTTTAAATATTCATTTTTATTAAATTACAATTAAAAATGGCAAAGCTACCGAACTGATTTGTAACACTATGAAACTCTGACATCCTTAAGTATGTTTTAGAAGATTACATGCAGATACTGATGACTGCATTTAAGGCCCATCTGGATAATCTAGTTTAATCTCTGTATTTCAAGATCCTTAATATAATCCCATATATAAAAACCTATTTTCCAAATAAGGTAAAATTACAGGTACAGAGATTAGGGTCTGATATTTTTAGGTGTTCCTTATTCAGCTACTCCAGAGTAAAATTATCATTTACAAAATATTATTTATACCTGATAATCAAAATGGGTATTTTATATAAACAAGACACACAGTAAAAGAACAAGCTATGGGAACATGTCTACTTTCAGCAATAATAACCTCACGTAAGTTGCTGTACTATTTGCAATTTCACACCTATTAATTGATGAGTTATGACCAACCCAATAAAATAGGACAATATTAGCTGCTTCACAGATGAGAAAACTATACTGCAAAGAAGGTTGATCTGGATAGGTCCCCTAGAAGAGAAAAACAGCTCCAGGACACAACCTGGATTTGTATCTGGTGCCCTTCCCACATCATCCCTCAGATGCCAGCACATTATTAATAGGTTAATTCATCTCTGTTGACTCTAAAAGCAATTTATGTATGCAAGACCAGCAAAGACCAACAGACCAAAGCTGGGTGCTCAGCCAAGCATCCTCACTAACTGAGCGCTGCTGTGCTCCTGCTGACCCACTGGGCATACCTAGATTGGTTTCAAAGTCAAAGATATTTCCACACAGCTATTTACTAACAAAACTGATTTTGTCACTCATTCTTATTCCAACCTGACAAAAATAATAGAATTGCTTATTCCTCACACTGAGGAAAAAAGGGTATATTTATTTATTTTTTCTTTCTTTAAACCTAGTGCACAGAATTTTGTTTTAATTAATGTAATAAGCACCTATGAGCTCACCACCCCAGACAAGGACTATAGGTTATTTACCAGCAGCCACATCTAATCCGGTAGCTCAGGCCCCATGCAATCATCCAGCCATTCCCACCTGAGGTAAGTTGCACTTTGAATCATGTTCATTATTCTCTACCTTTTGTTTTTATATCATTCTATTGTCCTTATAAGGATTATAGAGTATTTTTTTTTCAACGTTTATTTATTTTTGAGACAGAGAGAGACAGAGCATGAACGGGGGAGGGGCAGAGAGAGAGGGAGACACAGAATCGGAAGCAGGCTTCAGGCTCTGAGCCATCAGCCCAGAGCCCGACGCGGGGCTCGAACTCACGGACCGCGAGATCGTGACCTGGCTGAAGTCGGACGCTCAACCGACTGCGCCACCCAGGCGCCCCGGATTATAGAGTATTTTTATTTTAATTATTTAAAATTTTATATTCAGGACATAATCCCATAGCTAATCTTTTGGAATTTCTTCCCCCACTTAACATTATATTGCTAAGATTCATCCAGACTCTTGTGTAATTATAATGTTCCTGGAATGTTATTCATCCACTCTCTTACTGATGAGCATTTATGTTATTGATCAGTCTGCCCAGGATTCAGAAAAGAAAACTGCATTAGGTAAAAATGGCAAGGTGAAAGCTTAGCAGTGATCTTTTCCCTTTAGGACTATAAAATTCCTGAATGCAAAAATTAAATATCGGCACCTAAAATGGAATTGTTCTCTAATAGTTTGAGAGCTGCTTGGGACTCACAATATATATGTCCCCAAAGAAATGATTCTCTATGTGGTGGCTGATGCACAGAAGGCTGTTATATTCATAAGAAATCGAAAAAACACTACAGCGCCGAACCGGCCCATACACCAGCATTTCCAATAAAAATGCAGCCAGCGTGGCAGCCGCAACTCTTCGTATGGAGGTGGCCAGGAAGCAGGACAGGGCCCCCGTCCCTGAGACTCCCCAAGCTCTATCTTGAGGCAGCAACTCCGGGGCAGAGGAGAAAGAACGGACTGGCCTGAGGCTTCCGAGCCCAGAGAGGTGCCTGGCTGGAGATGGAGGCCAAGAACGGAAAGGGAGCTGTGTGGCTTGAGAGAAGTGACAAACACTGGAAGGGGTATGGGGTGGTCAGAAAGTGAATCATTTTCTCTGCATTTTTTAGCACTAGGTTAATGGGGAGCAACAGCAAGGTGGGGTTTGCAGGCTGCCCGCAGGGTGTCTCTGCCGGGCGACAGGCTTGGATTTCGTTTCTCCTCTCTACCTGTTCACTTCTTCTTTCATGGAGACGCCTTCCTGCGCTTAGAGTGGGGCACTGGAGAGAGAGCCCCTGGAAATGGTGGAGGGCTTTGAAAGGAGGTTTCCCCTCTCCCATGTTGCTGTGTCTGCGGTGGTGGGGAGCAGGAGAGCAGGACAAAGCCTCACACGCTGCACTGGGAGTGAAGGCTGTGCTTCTATTGGAAGTATGTAGGTCAGAGCCTGCCTACCAAAGGAAATCTATACATTTACCTGTTCCAAAAAAAGATGCTGTTATTTTTAGAGCTTTGAATGGGGTATGCAGGAATGTGTGAGTTACAACTAAACCTCTGCTAAGTTTACTGGCAGGAAGGCTGTTAAAAAATTTAGGTCAAGATAGTTCTATAGAATGTGCTGCATTTACAGTATTTTATTACGGTTTTTGCAACTGTATATATACTATTTAAGTATCATTAACTATAGTTTAACTATATAGCCATACAATGTAACTACTGAACTATAATTTAACCATGATTTCAAAAAAAAATATATATATATATAATTATGTATTATTCATAAAAAGTTACTGGGAACCTGTTTTTGCCAAGGACTATGCCAGAAGCTAGGATACAACTGTGGAAAAGACAATCCCTGATAAAGGGTGATGTTTATGATCAGCCTATATCCACTGGGCCCCCCAGGCCTACTGCTGGTCAGGAATGCAGTCCCACTCCTACTCTCTCGGCAATTGACATGCAATCCCATAGACTTTCACCTACAAATGGGCTACTGACTTGTAACAGATTCAGTGGGTCAAGAACCGGTATTTAGAATACTGAGGTCAAAATCTGGTATTCATAATCTACAATTAGTAAATTACTTAGAGTTGAAAATGAGGCATCGTCTCAGGAAGCATGCCTGCTACTCAAGTTCTGACAATGCTGGATCTTCCTGACAACCACTGGTACACTGAGGGGGGGGGGGGGTTCTGTGGTTCTCTGGACAACACTGAGCTGTGGGTTGGTCACCCACATGGTTAACCAATGTTAAATTGGTTATAAATTTCAATTGCTGTTATGCTTAAGTTTAAATTTTAAACTGGTGTTAATTTAGCCTCATCAGCACCAGCTTAGCTTATTGTGAGCTATCTGGTTAAGTTCACATTATATTTTAATGCACTGATGCATCAATGGTATATCTGGCAATTATTTTCCAATAACTAGAAATTACAACAGTTATGCATTGTGGGTTATATATGAATCAGCCAGAAGATTCATATTAAAGCATATAGATGCCTAATTCCTCCTCACCCCTTAATCAGTTTTTTTTTTTCAAACACTTATTGCCATGGACTAAATGTGCCATCTATACCTTCAAAACATCTGGATTAATGCATCAAAAAAACATTGCAAAGGTAGCTTATTATTTTCAGCAAAGGATCGATTTTTCTAAAAGTTAGGGGTCTGGACATTGACATGGTGTGGCCTCCTTAGACTCTCAAGAAGGCAGCATCTCATCCATCATCCCCTCTGTGCTGTGCCCCTGTCATCCTGCTAACAGGCTGCAGGGGACAAAGAACAGCCTTGCAAGACTGCTGGTCAACAAACAGGAGCAAAAAGGCCAGTCTAACCAGGGCGCAAAATCTTCTAATGACCATGTTCACTAAAAAGGTAGGTAACAATCCTTTCGAAAAGCTCACCTAGGTTTTTTAATATTCAGCCACATCTGCCTTACTGTTCCTTATCATTATGATAGGCTCAGAGGGCAACAAGTTGAGGAACAGAGACTGAGGGTGGTAGGCATTTTTGAAAGATAAAGAATTAGGATTTCTGGCCAATGGCACTGCCACCTGGAGTGCTGTGGACTCATTCTTTTAGTATATATAAAACTCATAAAGGAAAAAAAATGCTCACTGCCACTCTTATTTTCCTACATTGCTTTAAAGATAGTGTATAGGCAGTTAGCTCACTCTTAATTGGACAAGGTTGTCCTTGGTAGATGTCTTTCAGACTACATTGTAATTTACAGACAGAGCCATTATGTCTTTCTTTCGCCTACTAGCCTTGTCAAAAGGAGGCAGCAACCATATGATCAAGGTCATCTGCAGTCCCTTAAAGAACCACCCTGGGTCCAAGAACCAGATACATCATCTTCAGCACTTTTTTCACCTCACGTACCATGCTTGCATAAGTGCAATTTAATGAGATCGAAGTCCTAACACTCACTGTCTTCTACTAAGTTATTCACTGTGTAAGCCTTAAACCACCTCCTACTTGAACTGATGAGCAAGGTTTCCCCAAGATGCCACTGAAAATTTATTTTTCTATCTTTGGACAATCCTTTGGACAACCCATCTCCTCCTTAATAGGTGGTTCTGTCGTTGAATTCGGAATTAAGAGATCTGAACAAAGTGGTGGGTACAACTAGAGTACGGTGCAAGGCAATTCAGATTTGTTATAGTATGTTCATAATATGTAACAGAATCTGATCCTCTTATTAACATGCACTATGAAAAGCTTAGTTACTAGATTAGAAACAAATACTTTGAAAACACACAGACCCTCCCACCCCTGACCAAGAAGACATCACTTTTTGAAGATGATGCCAGTGATGATGCAAATGAGCACCTCAAACACCTCAAGACATATATCTCCAGTTCTTAACTTACTTTAAAATCATTCAAAATTGCATTTGAGGCCAGGCTACACTGTGTTTGGAGTGAAGGGAGGGTAGAAAACTCTTAGCTGGCTGGGTAGAAGGAATGTGCACAAATATGGGCTTCAGAGGGGCATACATGGAAGATGAGAACATTAAGTACTCAGGTTGCTACTAAGCTAGGAAGAGGCATTTGGAGAGTGCCAGAAACTGGGAATATAATCCTAATATGATGAGTGAACTCATTTCTTCCTTATCCTTGATAACCTCTGTGTGTCACGTGTTTACCCCATTTACCTCTGAAGATAGTAGTCACACCACACGATACAAGACAATCCATCACATGAAATTAGTTAACTAATTAGCTATACTGCTCAGTGATTAACAGACTGTCCACCAGATCTGGGCTTAGGTGTTGGTCTGCCATTCACATACCAACCACAGGATCTTGGTAGGCACAATGACAAGAGTGTGGCCTCTGAGACCAATCTATCTGCACTCAAATCCCAACTGAAATATTTTGAAAGCTGTAATTTAACCTCTTTTATTCTAGTTGACTTCCCCATGCCTCAGTTTCCTCTGTTAAACAGGGATAACAGTGCCTACCTCTTTGGGTTGTTGGTCAGAAAATGAGATAAGGTTAATACATGTAAAGTACTTAGCATACCATGTGACACATGACAGTGAATGTTAGCTGCTACTGCTATCATCACTATCATCATAATCATTATCATCCTGATGTGTTGCTTTGCTTCTCTCAGATACACTTTCCTGTTACAGTTATGGGATAGTAACAACACCTATTTCACAACACTGTGAGAGATAAATGAGGTAATGCATAAAAGATAATTACCATGGTGCTTTGTTAGTTAACAGTAATAGTAACAGTAGTAATAATAATAAAATAATTTGTCTAGGCATTTCCCCATTGTGGGTTCTATTCAGAAACCTTTATGTCCTTGTGACTATTTAGCATCTTTGAGAAATCTAGTTTCTAAGTCAAAATATGACTTAAATTTTTTTCTGATTTATTCCATAGACTCATCCTGTCCATTTATAATCTCATCAGGAGTGTGAGAGTGCTCGTTCAGTTTTGCCAGGAGTAGGAATGATCCTTTTGAAAAATTTTCCCTGAATGATTATAAGTGTTGTGGAAGCTCTGAAAATCAGCTGTCTGGGAACACCACCACCACCACCGTGACCAACAAAAATCAAACCGGAAGTTTAGCCCCCAACAATATAGGAAGCAGATTCATGGAACAGATGCACTTGTTATGAAAACAGTAAATCATGTGTACTGATAAATGAATGAGACTTGATAAGGACATCATATCCTACTGTGTGAGAAGGTGGTGCTGTAATGTGAAAAATACAATCTCATGAAGTACGTTGTGTCCTCAAAAGGACAAGGGGATCAATAAAAAACACAGTTCGCATACTCCCAGCAAAAAACCGGGTGTTAGCACTTCTGAAGGATTTGGTTGTTTCATGAGATGAAAAATGTCTACTTCGAGGCCTTAAAATATTGATGCCCTAAAGAGTTCTTCCCTACTGCCACACAGCATCCGTCTTAGAACAGATCATGGTGAGAGGCTCCAGAGGCCAAGGGAATAAGTTAAGGGGATGCTGCTTCTCACTGTGCAGGAAATAATTCTTCTTAGGAGGCCATATATCAGTCCAGAAAAAGCTGACAAGCTTTTTAAAAAATACAACAGAAACAAACTAAAAGCGATTCATTCCTGTCATCTTCTTTACATCTTGAACTCAAATTAAAAAAAAAATTGCCAATAAAAATATACAAGTCTGTGTGTCTTATAGTAACTAGGTATCCATATCTGCATGTGTATAAATTCCAGTGTAATCCCCAGAGATCTCCTATGACATAAGTAATGGTAACATGTTTGCCTCTGGAGAGTGAAACCTGGTGCTGGGGTACCAGGGTAAGAGATGTGGTTATATTTTTTCCATTATGTACTGTTTGAGCTTTAAAAAAATTATGCATGTTTTAATTGTTTTTTAAAAATTCATGATAACTATGTAAATAAATAGATATAAAATGTATTGGGACATTTGGTGACATCTGTACACATTTTTTTGTAGTCACAATTGGGGGAGGGCTCATCACTGGTAGTTAGCAGATGGAGACCAAGTCTGCTGTTAAACAGCCTACAATGCAGAGGACAGCCCCCTAAAACCAAGAATATCCAGCTCAAAAGGTCAACAGTGCTGCTGTTGAGAAAACTCTAAATGATGGACCCTTACATACAGAACATAAACACTCAGAGTATGAATTATATAAACAACTACTACAGTGGACTCTTGGCTCCTTAACACTCCAGACAGAGTATATCATCCGAAGAGACAGGACATGGAGTTGATCTACAGACCCAACACCTCCCACTCTCAAGCAGTTTCCTGCCTGCTTGGGGAGAAGCAGTTTTCATCAGTGGCTCTTGGCAGGGGAAGCAGTAACAGCAAGATCTGGACCCTTCCTGTTGCGTCAAGCACCTTGGAGAGATGACCATAAGGTCCTCTCTTCATGGGCCTGTGTGGGTGGGAGAGGGCAATCAGGAGCTGCATTGTTCCAATTATTCTTGTTTAAACAAGTCTGGTTAAAAGCCATTCACACACTACATCTCAAATACAGAACTAGCAGCTGTATTCAAACTTTGTATTATAATCCGGTCGCACCATCCAATTGGTTATTTGAGACCACAGGCTTCAATTAATTTAGGGGACAGTATGGTGATCAAAGGAGAAAAGTTTCTTACAAATCAGCATTTGTTTAGAGGGTCTTGTGTCCTTCCAAAGATTCCTTGTCAAGGCAACACACAAAACTTCAAATAATGAAGTACTTCATGGCTTTTGCACTGATGACAACATAAAGGAAGAATGACTCTTGCCTCCTTGAACCATATCATCTATTTAGCTTAATTTCAACTTGTTCTGATATTATGCTTTCCTTTTTTTAGTCAGTGATATTTTTATCCGTGTTTAATTTTGCATTATACTGTATTATAACAAAATCATAAAATGTTTGAGCTAAAAGGGATCTTAAAAATCACCTAACAAAATCCTCACATTTTATAGATAATAAAAATAGCTACTCAGATACACATTTCTCTGTAGTCGGTATTGTTCTAAGTGATTTCCTTCTATTAATTCCTTTAATCCTCAAAACCATCTGATGATGTAGACATCACTACAGTCACTCCCATTTTACTGATGAGGAAATGGAGACACAGAGAGATTAAGTATGCCACATGTTCTGGCAGAAAGAATTCTAAGATGACCTTCAATTAATCATGCCCTTGTATAAACCTCTCTGACAGAATGCAGGCAGAAACTGTGACTTGCTTCTAGTCCACGGTATGTGACAATGGAGATGGGAGGAAAGTCATTCTCATGGTTATGTTATGTTATGTTATGTTATGTTATGTTATGTTATGTTATGTAAGACTATCCTGGTAGACTGGAGAGAGAGTAGACTGGAGAGAGATTCTCCCACTGGCCTTGAAGAAGCAAGCTGCCATGTTGTGAGAGGAACTACAAGGAAACCACAAGGCAAGGAACTATGGGGGGGGGGCTCTACTACCAGAGAGCAGCCCCTGGCTCACAGCAAGAAAGTGAGGACATCTTTCCTACCACCATAAGGAACTGAGTTCTGCCAACTATCACATGGAATTGAAAGAAGATCCCAAGCTCCAGAAAGGAATACAGTCTGAGCCAACACCCAGACTCCAGCCTTGTGAAACCATGATCAGAGCTAAGCGTGCCTGGATTCCTGCCCCACACAAACTGTGAGGTAACAGATATATGTAGTTTGAAGGCACTAAGTTTGTGGGAATTTGTTATGCAGCCATGGAAAAATGATAGACATGTCCAGGGTCACAAAGCAAATAAAAGCAAGAGCAGAATTCAAACTCTGATGGTCAGGCTCTGCTATCCATCCCCACAAACATAACCACAAACAACAGATCATTAATAGTGACATCTCTGGGGCAGAGAGAGGTGAATTATTTTACTTACCCTATGTAATCTCCCTTCCTTGCACTTTTTACACTCTGACATATTACACACTCATGAATGCATGCACACACACACACACACACACACACACACACATATTTACTGTATATCTCTGACCAGCATATAAGATCTGTATGGGCAAGGATTTCCAACAATTTTGTTCACTGTTATGGTCCCAATCACCTAGAACAATGCCTGGTACCAAGTATATGGTAAAATTATTTTTTTTTTAATTTTATTATTTTTAAAAATGTTTATTTATTTTGAGAGAGAGAGAGTGTGTGTGTGAAAGTGAGCAGGGGAGGAGTAGAGAAAGAGACAGAGTCCCAAGCAGGCTCTGTGCTGTCAGCACAGAGCCCAACACAGGGCTTGAACTCATGAACCGTGAGATCATGGCCTGAGCTGAAATGAAGAGTTGGATGCTTAACTGACTGAGCCACCCAGATGCCCCACCCAATGTGGGGCCCGAACTCACAACCCTGAGATCGAGTTGCATGCTCCACTGACTGAGCCAGCCAGGCACCCCTGGTAAAATTATTTGTTGAATGCCATGAATGAATGTAATCATGGAGAAGCTGTGGCTTGGAGACTTGCTCAAAAGTCCTCATTAGTTAGTGGCAAAGCCAGACGTGCTGGTTATATTACTAATCTTAATTCTTCACCCCTTCCTAGAACTGCACCCTCTGCCATATGACCTTGCACTTCTTTTATGGCGCTTTGACTTGTTTCGCCAAGGAATGGGGTGGGACGAAAGGGGTGGTTGCAAACTTAGGAGGTAGCACATGTTTCCATTCACCCTTCTTGCTCTTCTGTCATTGCCAGAGAAAAGCATGCCCTGATTAGCCCACTGGTCCAAGGAGAGTGATAAATATGTAGAGCAAATGTGGACTCAACCTATAGATGATGAGCTGTGCATGTATCAGCCAGCCCCAACTAACCCATGAGTATTTGAAAGAATAAACAATTGTTGTAAGCTGCTGAATTTTGAGGTGGTTTGCTATATAGCATTAAGATGGAATAGGAAGAGTTCTTTGCAGTCCTGGTCCACCTGAGGTCTTATTAACATGGAATTTCACAGCAGTGATGTTCGGGGGAAGAAATCCCTAAAGTAGTGGAGAAAGATATAATTAGCGCCTTAATAGTCCTTTTGTTGACTATAGGATGCTTCGTAACTATTATGCTAAAAGCAGTTTTTAGGACAGAACATACCAAAGATCATAATTCTGCTAAAATAACAAAACTAACACATAAATGCACTCCTGAAATTAAGGCATTACAAAAAATTATACAAGATTAAAGGGAGAATGGAGGTGTGAATTGGAGCCAGAAGTTCAATAGCTAAGAAAGCCCAGGTCAATATAGAGCTGACAATGGTTAATCATCTACTTTCAAGATCTGAAAAGACTAAAAAGGGTTTGAATTTTTGTAGCCTGCAGTCTCTGACTATACTTTAAAATACAGTATTATTGTCCATAATTCAGTCAAAATTGAAAATAGATCAAAGCCAGGTCTATTTGGTGTAATTTTCCCTGGGTAAGAGTATAGAAAGAGCGTCAAAGCTTAATATCAGTGACATGAAAGAGGAAGTTCCATGAAGCTATTAGTTGGATGGAGCTGTCCATTCACAGAGTTGAGCCAGCCCCCTGGGACTGATGCAGAAAATGTGGGTAGAAGTAGGCTTAGCACAGAGGCTGCTCCCTCTATGCTAATAAGAACAGCAGAGTTATTCTCACCTATTGGGGCTACCATATGCCAGGCTCCTTCTACTAGAAACTCTTTTTATATACAGTATCTACAGTGATCATAATGATCCTAACAAGTTAGGTACTCTTGTGTTCATGATATGGACAAGGCTCACAAAGGGAAGTTTATTGCAGAAGACAAACAGCTAGTAAATGGGAGGATGAGAGAGAGTTCTGACCACCAAGGCCAAGGTTCTTTCTGCAACATCATGGTGCTTCGTGGGTTTCTGAACAAAGACAGTTTCCTTTCCTTTCTGTTTCTTCTGGTTTCTTTTGTAATGAGGATTTCAAATTTATCCAGTCTGTATCTATTCATCAAAATGTCATGAACTATATAGTAGATTTACTCAGAAATACCACTGTCCCCATTGCCACTGTATAGGAAACACTGTCATATTTACTTGTTTACTCTTTGTCAGCAAAACCTCTGGCTGAGACAAAGCCAATCTAATTTGGTTTCATCCAAGCCCTGGGATTAGATGAAGTTGGTTAGCAGCACCGTTCTTTAGTTATGGAAATAATTTGCAAAGCTATCTAGCTTTTGCACACTGGTGGCCCTGTAATTCAAAATGCTCTGTTATCTCTGTGTACAGATTCACCTACTCACGGAACAAGAGTAATAATAGAATACACTAGTTTGGCTCTTCTAACAGAGCTCTTTGAAGGCAGAGCCTTTCCAGAAGCGCTGACACTCATCTATCATAACACATTGCCCATGTGCCCTGCTTATGTCAAGCAGAAACATGTATTCAAGCAGCTGAAGTGATCAATAATAGCAATACACAGACCAACTGTCCAGCATTGGAGGAAGCATCACCAAGCATATAGCCTACTGCTGAGCGGAAAGTTTACATGAAAGCTGGCCAGGTAGTTAATTTCTCATTTTAAAAGGGCTCTTCTCAGGGCTACTGGGGTGGCTCAGTCAGTTAAGCATCCGACTTTGGCTCAGGTCATGATCTCTCAGTTCATGAGTTCAAGCCCCATATCGGGCTCTGTGCCCCCAGCTCAGAGTCTGGAGCCTGCTTTGGATTCTGTGTCTCCCTCTCTCTCTGACCCTCCCCTGCTCACACATGCTCTCTCTTTCTCAAAAATAAATATTAAAAAAATTAAAAGGGCACTTCTCTCTACAAACTTTAACTTTCAACTGAAAAAATTGTTATTAAAATATCATATGCAAATAGCAAAACAATAATTAAAAGTGTGTGCATATGTATACATATGTACACACACACACACACACACACACACACACACACACACACACATATATATGCAGTATATAAGAGTATTGATAACAAGTGAGTCTGTTAGTATAGCCCCAGTCCTGAACTCTTTAGGAAAAACACCATCTACAAATGCTCTGTGCACTACCTGGACATCATATCATGTCCATTTGTTCAGCCATTCTCTCTTCCTTCCACTAATGGACACTTAGGCCTATTTTGTACTTTCCTTTTTCCTTTTACATATCTTGAAAATCTTTCCATATTGGAGAAAACAGTGGGGTATAAAGTCTTAGGTCAGTCTCTTTTGAAAAGTAGAATATATCACACTCAGAACTATTAACTTCAGAGCAAACAGACCTGAGTCCTTAAACCACTTTTTCTCATTACAAATGGATTCCAGCAGATAAAGTGAAGAAAGGAAACATCACTGGGGACCTAAGAACAGACAAACAAGAGTCCCATCGGGATTCAGACTGCCTTCTTCTTTGATATAGGGATTGTGTTTCTGATTTCCTTTTCCTCTTTTTCTTAACAGGAACAATAGGCATATTGACGTTTGTGGGAGGCTTTAACAAAGGTCCCTTATAGGTCACTTTCTGTGCCTCTACAGTACTGGTGCATGTGAAGTTAGTACAGCCAATGCTTTGTTTAGTTTTGTTTGAAAGTTTGGCAGATAGAAAAAAAAAAGCCATTTGCGCACCCCCCCCCATTCCACCTATAGAATCTAGTTTCTAAAAACCTTAAAACTTGCCATAAATGATGAATGTAACGGGCATCTAGCATACATAGTAACATAGGATGTACCGCAGCAGGGCCCAAGATAAACGATTTGTTATTCAGGTTTCAAACTCACCCTGCAATTCTGCTTCTGACCTGGATTGCAAATCTCTCTGCAAGTACTTACTGAAGATCTGATAGGACAGGGGACTCGGTTAGGTGGGCTGGGAGGAACAATAAAAATGCACAACACTTCAACAGAGGGTGACAGTCCAGGTGGGGTCATGTGGCACATGTTAAACAATTAGAGTATAATCTATGAGGAATAAAATACATGTAAATATCCATCTAGGTGACTGTACCACCTATGATAATGGCTTGATGGACTTTCAGCAATGCTTGAGAGCATGTTGGAATAGTCTGCCTTAAAAACGAGTGATACACAAAATTCAGTACTAGAGGCCTGAAGGGCTGCCAGGAATCATGGTAAAATGAGAGGCATGTGTAAAAAAATGACTGGTAGAAACATGCTAGAGTATTATGCTTTTGCCAGCAGAGAAAACACATCAGGTGTCAAATAACTGCCAAACTATAGTTCACACGAACAGAAGCTCTAACCTTTAGGCATGGTTCTGCAGGTGGAGATTTGGCTAGAGGGCTGCTTTTTCCACAGGCGGCTCCCTGTGGCTCCACCCAGGATCCTCCAGTGTGATACTAGTAGGGGTCTATTTATTTAATGATGGTTAGGATAGGCATTGCTCAATTTAGGTCAGTAATCTATTTCTGAAAAGCCAAAGTTCTGCATGAAAATGCTAATTGGGAGCCTATTTCTCAGTACATATGTACTTACTTAATTTATTAAAAATTTTTTTCAACGTTTATATTTGAGAGAAAGAGGCAGAGTGTGAGTGGGAAAGGGGCAGAGAAGGAGACACAGAATCAGAGGCAGGCTGCAGGCTCTGAGCTGTCAGCACAGAGCCCAACGTGGGGCTTGAACCCACGGGCTGCGAGACCATGACCTGAGCTGAAGTTGGACACTCAACTGACTGAGCCACCTAGGTGCCCCAATTTATTTATTTGTTTAAACTGAAGTACAGTTGACACATGATGTCACATTAGTTTCAGGTGTATAATATAATGATTTCACAAAGCGATACATTTTGCTATGCTTACCTCAAGCGTAGCATCTGTCACCATGCAATGCTAGTG